ATCAAAGAATGCAGCAGAAGATGCTTCTGCGACTTCGGTGTTAGGTTGAAGCTCTATTGCTCGCAGACGACACTAGACGGCAACCTCTGCGCACCTCACACGCTGCCTGAAGCCAACCATATGTCCAAGACAAGGCTTGCCAGCATCTACTAGCAGCTGCAGCTTGAAGATCCCACTCAAAACCTATGAAATTCCACCTAAACAAACTGAGAATGCGCACCGCAAGCCAAATCGGGCAGTCTTACCGACAGGCTCTGAGTGTAAAGCCGGCAACGAGTGCACACCCTCAACCCTCAAAACACGTGATTGAACCCAGGAGACTGTAACTCCAAATAAAAATCTAAAGCTCCGTAAGCCCTGAAAACCCCCCCAAACCCTAAACCCGAAACCCTAAAACCCTAAACCCTAAACCCTGAACCCATGCCACGGCCTGGAAGGACCGGATCCTGTGCGACGTCCTCGGTGGGGAGCTGTTGCATCGTTACCGAGCCGCGTTCGTTCAAAATCTTACGAGTGGTTGGTCCTGCAAGGTGCGGTTTAAACGGGAACTTGGGTTTTGCAAGCTGACGGGGCTTAGGGTTTAGGGTTTGACACTATTTCAACTAGTTAATATGGTCTCTGGGATGCTTTCTCGAATTCTTGGAACAGTAATTAAGACGCCATCAGATCGGCACTCAAAGCAATCCCGGTTGATCGCCAGGAATTCCTGTGCAGACCTCGTCACGTCACCCCCTGTTCCTTTTTTTTTCCTAAAGCTTCAGACATCCTTCCCTGCCTTGCTTCTGATCCCCCTAAACCCCTAAACCTTATAAGCCCTAAGCCCTATAAACCCCATAAGCCCTATAAGCCCTAAACCCCCTAGAAACCCTAAACCTGAACCCTATAAACCCTAAACCCCAAACCCCAAAACCCTTAAGCCCTAAACCCCAAATCCTAAAACCCTTAAGCCCTAAACCCCCAAACCCTAAACCCCTGAAGCCCTAAAGCCCCAAACCCTATAGCGGCCTCGAGGGTGTCAGATTTGTTAGACTCAGACGCATGGTTTCCGGTGTCCTTGGTTCAGGGTTTAGGGTTCCGGATTTAGGGTTGAGGGTTTAGGGTTTGGGGTTCACGGCTTAGGGTTTAGAGGGTATTTTCTACAGTTACAGAATGGGTACTTAGTTCCCTTCGGGCATGCATGACAATGTAGAGGGGCACTCATATCACGAAATCTAGCCGACCTTATACCGACGTACGGAGTCTCGTACCCCTCGCAGTCCGGTGGTAGGCAAACTCTTTTCGAACAGGGTCGCGCAAAGTCAGATTCGACATTAGCCATGGAGGTGTGGGTTAAGGTTTAGGGTTTTTGGCTTCAACTTTTCCGAAGTTTTGGAATAGTGTGTTGGGTCAGTTCTTGTTCACAATGTCAGAGCCCCTTCGGCCCCCCGATTTGGACGCACCCTCAACTATGCACGAATGAACTTGCAGAGACCGTAAACCTCAAAGCCCGAAGACAAGCCCATATAGCCCATCACCCCAACCCCCACGCCCGCCCTAAAACCAAAAACCTTAAACCGAAGAACAAAAAGAAAGGGAAGTCGATGCCGGAGGTCGATTTGCTCGGCGTTTACAGATGGTGGAATTTCGATCCTCTCAGGTGCCGAGATGAGGGTATATGTTTTTGCGCGAGAATCCATCTTCAACGATAAAACCCTACACCATATGTGAGTGTTGGTCTGGAGCTAAAACATGCCTAAGCATTGAGATGTGGGGTTCAGAACGTACACACTTGGCTGTAGGGTTGAGCACTTACCTGGTTAACCTAAGCCCTAACCTCTGTCAGGATTGAGGGTTCAGAGCTCTGCAGCATGCCGCTTGGTGTTTATAACGCTTGCGATGTAGGGGCTTTGGGTCCAGGCTTGAGAACAAGTAAATACACGTTAAGAGATGATCAATGCTGGGATTATCCTTGCAGCTTTTCAGCTTCCAACTTGACGAATGCGTTGAATTTGTTCAGCGTTGCTCCCTTGGACCTGTTCGTCTGCATACGTTCAGTGCGAACTTCCAAATCATGGTCGCGGACAACAAGGTAAGCGCAACCAGTTAGACTAGTGGAAGCACCCACTTTTCGTTGCGTATCTTTTCAGAGTTCGAGAAGGTGCCAACATCGCGGCGCGCCTTCCCGGAGAAAATCAAAAACATCGACGCAGTGGCCTACTAGCAGCAACGGCAGCGGCAGCTGTAGTCTGTAGCCCCTATCGAAACCATTACAGCAACCTTCATGGCCATATATGGTGATCGGCCCTTGCAGTACCTCATATCAACAGGAGAAACAGCACTAGCTGTAGAAGAAGTGTAAGGTCTGCGTTGTCGTATCAGCAGCAGTTGGGGCAGTACTACTGGCAGCTCTCGTTGTTGTCGCCATTGCTGCAATGGTCGTGGCCGTAGCAGGGGGGAGTGGTAGTAGTAGTAGTAGCAGT